GTCGCCTATTTTACATCACAGATGTTAATTCTCGCAGGCAATTCTTGGTCGATACTGGCGCTGCAGTGAGCGTTTTTCCGCCTTCTAAGCAAGAGAGGGGGAATGTTTGCGCGCTTAACTTGCAAGCTGCGAATGGGACACCCATTCCTACATACGGCCAACGCTCTTTGACCCTGGATTTAGGCCTGCGTCGAACATGCCGCTGGATTTTCACCATCGCGAATGTCCCTACACCGATCATAGGCGCGGATTTCTTGCACCATTTTCATTTCTTGGTCGATGTCAACAAACCGCTGACCAGCTTGTCAGTCATTGGTACGCCGTCCGATTGTCCCGCCGTCAGCCAGGTCTACAGAGACCGAGATTCCGACAACACGTTTCAGCACATACTCATGCGCGAATTCGTGAATATAACCAGTCCGGTATATCATTCCGACGACGTAAGGCACGATGTAACACATCACATCGAAACAAACGGAGCCACTTTTGCAGCACGTCCGCGCAGGTTAGCTGGGGACAAACTTCAAATCGCACGCGACGAATTTAACCATATGCTGGATCTGGGCATTATTCGGCCGTCTAACAGTAAGTATGCAAGTGTACCAATTTCCAAACTTTTTTCACAATTTGAATGATTTAGATGATATTCTTACCTAACTGACTGTACTATAACGCCAATTTGGCTATAACTTAATCGTCAGGGAATGCTGCTACTGTATTATACTGGACAGCAGTTTGTACGTGCTAATCACAATATTCTATGTTTCCTTAGAGAGAACACCGCTAGAACCTCTGCCAAGCACTAGCAGAGTCGCTAGCAAAGTTAAAGTTTGTCATAATTAGGTTAGGGTTAGGGTTAGGGTGTGCCTAGCCTCGGAGAATGCTGCGGCAACCAGAATTGACCATGCAGCTCTAGCAGCTCTTGGGCTGGGTATGTAGCCACTACCCTATGAAGAAATCATTAAGGGATGATATGAAAAACTTTCTGGGTTCATCATCTTTTTTTTGTATTTGTAACTCCCTGTATTCTACGTCAATACTCAATATTTTATATAGGTATACCCCTGTCTGAGAGACAAGGAATGAGGCGGCAGCGAACGGCATTCCCCTTGGACATGTCAAGCCAGGGTCTGGGAGAGAAAGTCCTGGAACTTTTTCCAAGAGTAATTACTTTCAAACTGGCCCGTAGAACAACGAGAAGACAACTGGAGCTTTTGCCGATCGATATTGTGCCGGCCCAGTTCAAGGTGTTGCTAAAAAGGTCAGCGCTGTATGTGCTGCCCATACGTCTCAACCCACAACCGGTATGTACACTATCATTGTTTCTGTTTTCCACTTTTACGGTGAACTTATAACATCTCTGCCACTATGAAGACACGTAAGGCCTTAAGCAGGGTTCTCAGCTCTGCTTATTTCATACATGCCATGTTACATAAACATTAGCAACTAGTCTTGCCATAACCGCGCTCTGCCCGGGTTAAAAGCCCCCCCCCCCAACAGCTTAGTCACCCTATCTGCCTTACTCCCTGCCCCCCTCGTTCCTCCTCCTAATTGTATAATAGAAGACTGCCAGTATGAAACTTAAGAAGTACCAGTATGAATTACTTTTAAGAAATAAATTCTCCTCCCGTCGCTCCCTCCTCTCGTCCTTCCCTCCTCCCGTCGCACCCTATTACGTAATAGGGAACAGCAGCGTACTATCCACCAGGGCGGCAGCACTGTTTTATGAGAGTACTCCTTGTTTACTTCTTTGTTCAGTATTTCACTATCAATTGAGTATTTTTACAGTGGAAAATGCCTCTATACTGTGCTTGTGCCACTCTGCAACAGTAGAAAGGGTGTCACACCTTTCCTAAGGATCCAGACCTTAAATTGAAGTGGCAGGTTGCCATTAAACGTCTGAACCAGGTGGCACGACCAAAACTTAGGGAACAGGAAAGTTGGGCTGCTATTTGTACAAAAATTTTACATCGGATCGTACAGGACCGCAGGATATATAGGGAGTCAATTAATTTTATAAATATAATTATTAATAAGTAAATATATTATTACTACAGATAAGCCAATACTAATGCTAATACTAATTCATGGCCTAGCCTACAAATGTGGATCTCCTGCGACGTAATACAGATGGACTAGTCACTAGGACAGGCCTTGCTAATGTGTGTGAGACACTTCTGCTTGGTTAGTAATGAATTATTTGTATGTCACTGACGACAATGCATGCATACACCATACATAAAAATGCACAATCAGTGACTATTTAACCTTTTTCCCCATGTACGGGTAGGTCACATACATGACCTACTTATTTACTTTCTTACTGTTCCATAATAGCATATTATTTTGTTGTATTTTTCAGGTGAAAGGAAACTACTGAAGAAAGATGCTGTTCCAACATATTCCAGTTCAAGACGCCATCATCAATGTCACAATCGACTGATCGTCGCAAGGAGAGGGTACTCAAACGCCGTAGACTGTTTGACATGAATATTTGAAATGTCGGAGATGAGGTAAAATATCTACAAATGAGAATGATGGAGTCCGATCCACTTGGGAGACTATAGAGGAAGAACGCTTGCAAGTCAGCATGTCAGTGTGACTTATAAGCGACAGCATACACGTATGTCAGTGAAGAAATTTGATAACAACCCAGATGCCATAAACTTTTATACAGGTTTCGATGATTATGAACATTTTAAATTTGTGTTTAATGTGTTGGGACCAGCAGTGGATCACTTAAATTCCTGTAACGACTGTAAATTAGAGCCTGTAGATCAGTTTTTTGTCACACTGATTAAATTAGATTAGCAAAGAGGACCTCGAGTCTCATTTATGTTTAATATTTAGGCACGTACTGTTGGGTCGATATTCAATACATGGGTAAAAATTTATTACTAATCAATTCAAGGAGATCGACATCTGGCCATCGACAAGGAAAATGTTCTCCAGTACATGCCCAAAAATTTTGGAAGACAGTTTATGTCGCGAGAGTCATACTAGACGCCACCGAGGTACCTATTATGAAACCCCTCAAAATGTTACGTCCCAGTCGGCAACATTCTCGACTTATAAAAACAAAAATACGCTAAAAACCATGATTGGAATTACCCCACAAAAGGCTCGTGTCTATATTAGTGACAGTTATGGTGGAAGCTCATCTGATCGACAAATCATTGAAAGATCCCCCTTAGTTACAGAAAAGGGTAAATATTTTGAAGGAGGCGATTCCATTATGTCTGACAGGGGAATAGAATCCAGGATATGTTTGACACATTTAATATCAAGTAAACACACCACATATGCTTGAGGGGAAAAGCCAGTTGAACCCTGAAGACGTTATATTTGACCGTAGAGTTGCATCAAAGAGAATCCATGTTGAGAGAGTCATTGGCCTGGCGAAAACTTACAAAATATTAGTTTGTCCATTAAATCAAAGCAAGAAACAAATGGGGTCATTTATTATATATGTATGCTTTTATTAGCTAATTTCAGGAGGAGTAGTTGATAAACAGGCTTGAATTGTACACAGTGAATCTTCTTACATACTATTAGCTACACATTTTATGAAATCATTATTATAAAATTGCTCTAATTTTGGCAATAGTAACTTTGCACAGAATTCTTTGTCATATGGTATTTTTTGAACATGTAGATCTTTAAACGTATACACAACGAAGTAACACATTTGTCGTTTAGCAATATGTAACTGCCCCTGTATTTGATAATAATAATTATGATTGTTACGTATATTATTGAGTCGTCATCTTCTCTCTTTAAAAGGAAAAGTTTTTACCGGGAACAATTTTCTCATCTCGCCACTATATGGGCACTTCACTTCAACTATGTATCAGTATCGATAATTCCGTCCGGTGACGCTGCCAAATATGGCCTTTTCAACTGAAATAAATAGGCCCGCATCCATGACCAAAACATTATATTTCATTTTGAAATTTTGATATCGCCTTTTCTTCATGTTGTTGCCCATGAATAATGGGTGCAGTGTTCAATGGAATGGATTAATGATTGACATAGCCAATTTCTGCATATCTTTTTTTTCTGTTGATTACAAATTTCCCCAAATCTGGGAAGCAGTTAATCGCCAAGCCCTTTCAGTGTGCCATTGCTTGCAGTCACTCTGGCATCTAGTCGCCTTTTCAATATTTTCAGCCTCTATGTCTGTGACCTGCAAGTATAAAAGTTATAAATATTATATTTAGATTTCCAGACAAGTTATCAGTTTAAAAAGTTCTACACAGGTTAACAGCATTTTAAAAGTATATATACATGTACAGAATAATTCTGTCACCATAAAAGTATAATTAATATTTAGATTTCTAGACAAGTTACAAGTAGCCTAAGTGCAGTTATAAAAGTTATTATACATGTCTTGTCTAAAAAAAAGTACACAATTTACCAGCATTTTAAAAGTACATGTACAGAATAATTCTCTCACCTTCAAAGCCTTTTCTACCCAGTAATGGGTAAAGGGTTTGTTCAAATAGCTGTGGTCAAGGACTGCACTCTGTAAGTCTGCTTTATCATACATGTATCGCATCGATACATCTTTATTGTGTAGTGCACAATAATTTAGACTTTTGATCTCACAGAGTCATTGTATCCGACAGTATTTCTGTATTGTATGGTCTAGGATCATCCAGGTAGTATCCACTTTCTTCTGGAAGATTCTGTGCTTTAATGGGAGAACCTGAAATTAAAAAAAAGATTTTTTACAGTTGTTGTTTAGCATATTAACCAGAGTGTTAAAAAAACTTCTCAAATAATTACATTTAGTTTAATTTTCATGAAATTCCTACCTTGATAGTTTTTCCTAGGCTTATGGAATGTTTGCAGATCCTCGGTACAGCTTTTTCCAATCATGAGATCACCAGACTCAGAAAACTTTTCTAAAACCAGAAGGACTGCAGCAACATGTTTACAGGTCCCATGAGGTCCTCTTCCCGCAGGGCATTCACAGTGCGAGTTTATGACATCACCAGTCTGACCAGCAATTTTTATCTTGTAGTTATAAGCAACCTAGAAATAAATGCCATATTTAATTTAGGTTTTTAAAAACATTAATTATTTAAAACAACATGTATTAATTATTTATAAACAACCTATAATCTAAATTTAGGTTAGATTCTTTAATAATTAATTTGACAACCTATAAATAATTTATTTATACTATTTACGAAGCTAAAAATTATAATGTTTATACCTTCTTTTTCATTGCGGCTCCAACAATACCAGTCAGGAATATATCTTTTCTGGTAATATTTATGCTACAGGCATCTACTCTCCTCGATTCTAATAATAATTGTCCCTTCTCGATGGACTTCAGGTCTCCGGTTATTTGTTTATCAGAAGCCTGTCTATATTTAAAATAGCCAAGTATTTGACCCCTAGTTATTTTTGGTAATACAACTTTATGCTCCATAACAAGTTGTTTAAATCCTGCAGTGGGCCATTCTGTGATCTCTGGGGGAGGAAGAATGGTCTCAACGTTCTCAAAATTTCGATTTCTGTCATATGCTTCTAGTCTGAAAATAGGAAAATTTATATTAGCCTGTAAACAAATTTCATAACAAAATCAGCTGATTTTAGACAAGACAGGATTCATAGACTAGGAAGTGCTGCCACCTAATATAGCTTTTAAAACTAAAATATTGATTCACTAGCCTATACCAGGTCCAAACCAGGTCAAGTGAAAGATGGGGCATTGTCACTTTTTCTGCATTATTCACGTTGAATGCAGATATCAGACAATGGAATAAAAGACATAATGGGACTTATATTAGCTCAAAATAATCATTAAGTTATTCACCTTTCTATGAGATTTTCCTTTCTTCCGCGTGTGCTAGCATTTCTCAGTGTTAACTCTTCTTTGATCTTATTTACTGTCCATTTACTATAGTCAGCCATTGTGATTAGTAGTTCCTATAAACCACGCGCGCCACCTGTGAAGTGATGACGTCACTGCTGTTCCCTATTGGAGTAATTTTATTAGAGATGTATGATTGTCGAATAAGTTCAGCAGATCATCGTTATCTAACCTTTGGAAAGGTAGTATATTTTCAAGACAAATATTGCAATGGAAAGTGTCATTAGTAGCTGATAATCTGTTAAATTCGGAGTGTGTTAGTTGAGTACATTTCAAGTGGCACCAATTCAGGCAGATGTTACATAGGATAGAATTCTGGTTAGATTTACATGCCTTACAGCAAACAACACATGGAAAGCATGTCATTGAGTTAGTCTGAGACAACACTTGGGCTGTGGTAATATTTTAATTGCGGATTTGGGCGTGCGTGTAGCCTATTTTGGTCAGGTCACTGATAGACTTTATGTTTATTGCCTCAGAGGTGTCATTTTTTTTCATGAAGATTTGGCCATGACGTGTCCATGCATATTTGTATTTTATAGCGAGCTTGCATTGTCTTGTGTGGTAATATAATGACCTGTTGGCTTGGGTCAAGCTTTCGTTGATATAGATTGGGCTTGGTGTTGTAAAGCCTATGTCTCTAGCTGTGCCAACATTTCTCCTAGCTGCATAGAACATATCCCTCGCATCACGCCTCACGAATTTAACGATGATGGCAGGATTGGCCCCAGATCTTGGCTTGGGCAGGCGGTGCGAGATGCTAATGTCTAATTTTTTGTATAATATCGTTAGTCGATTCATTATTAGTTTGTGGTATCCCAGAGATTTCAAGGGTATCCCGACGACCATATTGTTCCAGGTTAAATTGTTAATAGTACAGTTAGTGCCATTAAGTTGCTGTTCAAGCGAGTTAACAGTGGATTTCAGTATACAGTTTTCTTCTTCTACTATTTTCACCCTGCTAAGGGCTTTTTCTAGGTTAGTTTTTATTAGTTCATACTGGGCAGACATGTATTCCTGGCTGATCTTAATGTCGCCAATATCCGTGGTCATTATGGAGAGTTTGCTATCAATCATCTCTCTCACCTCTGTTTCCATGGTCTTGATGTTCCCAGCCAGTCGTTGTTCCATCCCGGCCAGCAGAGATGGGACGTCCTCATCGTTCCCTGTCGTAATTGGTGGAGCATCTTCAGACTCAAGACGCATGGCGGCCGAGTCCTTAGTTCTCTTGCTTCGTGACATATTGAGAGCTTGTGGTAGTGTAGCCCGACCAGGCTGTGCGACCGATTGACTATACCCGGTTTCTACCGGTCTTCTAACCCTAGCAAGACCGTTTCTTTGAACTAGTGCCTAGTGGTGGTGAATCTGTAGCTAGGCTACTCAGCCTACTGTACTGTAGTGTAGTTAGTCCGGTACGGCGGTAGCTTGTTGCAGGTGAAATATCGAGGTGTGGTAGATCTACATCAGGTTACTCATAATAACGTTGAATATGATAGCAGAATACTTTTACTTCATATGACGATAGGATGGCAATTTCATTAGCAATTTTATCAGATTCGAAAATTTAAACGTCCGCCATTTGCTATCAGCGCCATCTGATCATATTTTGAGAAAAAATGGTAAAAAATCACATTTGGCCCAAAATTGTTACGATAATTACCAGCAAGCCCATTAAATGTGGTATCATCTTATAGAGAATTTAATTTCCTTTAATATGATACCAGACACGTGGTGAAAGGAGGTTCTATTCAAACATTATCTTCAAAATTGGTTAATATTAGTTAGACATGGTGGCAATTTTGAAAAATGGCTGCCATTTTTTTTCAGCACCATATTTTCAGGGTAGTCCACCTGGAAGGTGTTCAGGGAGGTCTCCTGAACACGTTGATACCAAACAACCTTTTACAACACCCCATGTCTGGTTGGGTGTTGCTATCCCCCGGGCGTGGAGGGACGGTCACGTGATACAGTTGACGTATACTTCAAAATCATTACTCACCCGGTAACTTTAACACGAACACCTCCAACGATAATCCTAACACTAAATATATATATCTCGGAGCGCTATATATAGGGGGTGTGATCCACAAAAATTAATCTATGGTGTGGGGACAGATATCATGATGCAAAAACTCTAAACCTAACCCTAACCCTAACCCCAACCCTAACCCTAACCCTAACCCTAATCCTAACCCTAACCCTAACCTAATACTAATACTAATACTAATAATATTAATCCTAATACTAGTGCTGCCACGTTGCGGTGCCCCCCCACGTCCGGGGGATAGCATTACCCATGTCTGGTTGACCCCAAAAATGGGGGTTTGCCCCCTAGGTGCAAGTGAAGCTTATTTAAAAAGCCATGATATAATTAAAGAAATGCAATAGGCACAACGATTCTAATTGCCTTTCTTGTTACCAGGCAGATAGTCAAACAGTTCTAGACATCATGTTACACTTTCTATGGTACTGGTAGACATAATTACCTTTACAAAATTAATTGTGTAATCTTCTTAAGGTTTTTGAGACTATTGTGGCGAACCAGCCTATGTTGCAGGTTAAGGCATGTCACTCGGGACCTAGGGTATTCTTTAGGTGCGAAACTGTATGCGGGAAATTGTCATGCCACTGCTTTGTTTATGTACAGCCTCTAATCAGAACGGCAAATTGGGCTTTGTTCTAACCAATCACGGAATAATGCAATCTAAATCCACCCAGTGACCAATCAGGAGTAACTAGGTGTACTCGGATACAAGAGAACTTTCGCGGTTTTTCACCCTCTTCGCTTTCTGTTCATGGTGTTACTCATTCCTACCGTGCCTTAAGCCGGCTCCTATACTGTGTTCTACATTCTTATTGTGTTACGAATCTACATATCTCATGAAACCGATCTGCGCGTATTCGTAAGTGTATTAAGTTTCATGTTATTTGATGATTAAACACATTGGTTGAATGGCCGACGCATAAAGTAATCCGTCTCCGTTGGGTTTTGATTTGTCTGTCTTCCTCGTTCGCACAACATCATGCGACGAATCAATCGAGCGATCGAATCTTAGACCAGTGGTAATGGCCGGAGGAGTTGACGCGACACATCACAAGGGGGATCACGCAAGGGAAAATGACGATGTGAGAAAGTGGGAACATTACACTATCGAAATGACAAAACAACATTTTGATAACTAGTTTCTGAGAAATGCTTTATTATACATTGATTATGGGAACAATATATAAAAGATGTTCACGTCATAGTATAACGCATGTAGCATCGTATAAGCACGTGATCGTATAAGCTATTACGGGTTCGTGTACAGTCAGATACGTGTGCAAAGCCTTAAAGACAAATGGAACGTTGTAGCCACACAATACAATAACCAGAGAATTACTACAATGCATCCATTCTTTAATAATTACAAAGCATAATGACAACAACAGTCAGCACTACATAGCTATCAAACTCAAGCAAACACCAGGTACAAGCAATGCATATCTTACAACAGTGTAGTGCCCGGGAGCGGCTAGGTAGCAGCAGAAATGACAAGTGACTCGCGCATTGACAGGAGTGATGTAGGATGTGCTGTCGTCTGCGGCACATTCCTATGGATGGATGATCGCTCGTGAAGTGTGGGAATCTGTGGTTTTCCTCCAATGTGGTCATTATTATCAACAGCGAACGTATTCATTTCATGTTTATATACTCATTTCACATTCCATATTTCATACTCATATATATATATATATATTTATATTTTATAATACAACCTCATGAAAATATATGTATAACTTTTGAATCTCCACCGACGCACCGTCATACTAACTACTACAACTCGCGTGCAATGTGATTAATTAATATAAGGGAATGCTTGGGCAAAATGTAATGCTACGTCACACAAAAATAACTAATAGGTAATTGAAAAGAAAACGTGTGTGCACATTGTTAGAAACAAAAGGGGATAGGAAATGAGAAAGCGTTTTTTCTTCTCTTTTTTTGTTTGTTCACAACATCGTTAACGATATTGCATCCCGGATGGAGATACTCGAAAAACCTCGAGCTGTTAATAGTAATCATCCCATGAGTCGCATTTTGTGTCATCGTCTGCAAATTCAAATATGACGGGAGGTGGCGAAGGTGGCAGGCCGCCTCCGGGAACGTATCCGATGTCTGGCCGCGGTTCCTTGCAAGTTGGGCCAACTCTCAAAGAGCTATTCGTCATACTCGGCGATGTCGGGGAAAGGGGTTGTTTGAACTGGAAAAAAAGTTTGTTCTGAATTAACACACTTTTATCGTAAAGCAGTTGGTTCACCTGAGATACCGCCTGCGTTATTATTTCAAGTCACGAGAACTTCTACAAGAGAAAGCCAAATGCAATAAGAAGGCTCGGGCAGTATTGGATGAATAACTAGCAGATGGGTGTCATTTTATGAGAGCCAGACAATTTAGATAGTAATACGTAGTAGGTTATGGTAGGGCATTTGCGGCGAACAACCAAGAGTCAACAGTTAGATGTTAAACGGTTTTATACACAAAATACTGCATGGGTCGGGGACAGGGTATCGAGTGTGGCAGCCGAGTTGAGACGTTTTACAAACATCACCGAATCATGCATCCTACACTGGGTGCGTGACTTTTAAATAATACACATGATCTATTGAAATGTTGTTACAGAAGGTACAGAATCTGAGATTGACAAAGGTGAAATGACGATCGGCTTGTTCAATAGGTTCAATTTTTGCTAAGAGCAGCGCATGTGTGTGTGCATGTGTGCGTGCTTGTGTCTGTGTGTGTATGTGCGTGCGTGCGTGCGTCTCTGTGTGTGTGCGTGAGTGCGTGCATGTTTATAAGCAACACGCGATAAAGCGATACTAAAACACATGTTTACAAACGCTATCATATTTGCGATGCCATGTTGGTACAGAGCGTTCCTCCATTTGCTTGCCTTTGTAACACAAACATTAGAATGCAGATGGCAATAATTGCGATAATTGATCTTTGTAAATACCGCATCGCAAGAGAATCATCAAACAGGCAGCGTGCCTGCGTCA